TAAAAGGTATAAGATTTTTGTCAAATATGGTCGGAAATGATCGTTTTTTGAACGTAATGCAAACTTTCAAAAAAATGAACACGGAAAGTTTGTCATTTATGGACCATGCGACTTCTTCCCAACCAAAGCCTGCAAAGTAAATGTGAAAATCTATTACTGTCCTCTTCTATAAACTTTTAAATCTACCTACTAATAATGAACTATGTAAACTGGCGAAAGGCAAACTCATGCAGCCCAGTGTTTATAGTTGCGAGAATAATGAATATCCTGTTCTTAAAAAAAACGGTAACATTTGTACTAAAGTGTTTTGGTATTCTTTTGTTTTTTCTCTTCTTTTTTGTATTTTAGTCGCGAAAATGAGTGCTGGTGAGAAGAGCGCTAACGAAAATATAATAATAGATAAATATTCAAACAAATCATCAGAAGTGCAGCAGATAGTTTACTATTAAATTGCCTGGAAAAACAATAACATTTTCTTTTAACAATTGTGTTGTATAAATTTTAACGTTAATTAATATTTTTTTTACTTTTTGTATTATACATCTTTGTCTCTTAAGTCTTTTATTATTTCCTCACATTGTTTGAGAAAAATATGCATGCCTCGGCGGGAACGGGGATTGGTTGACTCATATTAATACAAGGCCTCGCTGGCGCCCGTCCTTGTAACTCTTACTCTTCCAGTTATCCCTTCTTCCCGGCCTCTGCAGTAATGTACTATTTTGTCATTTTTGTCATTCACTTGGTCTCATAGAGACTTTGATCCTTATCAGAAACAGGATCGAATGGTATAATAAAAAAAAGTACTAGAAATTGTCGTTTATATTGCTGACGTACTATTTCAAAATGTGTAAATGCTAATCGTAATACTTACAAAATTGCATGAACACCCCCAGCAAAAAATGTATACTTTTCCCACCACGATATTTACATATTTAAACAATTTACACTAGTCGTTCTACAAATGTTCTGTAACTTACAAACATTTTTATCATAAAATATTCATAGACTATAGAGTACGTACTATACGTTAAATGTACTGTAGTATTCACTAACGTACAGAAGATGATTGTGTTGGTATATCTAAGATATTGTGATCGAAATTGACATTACTTTATTTGACATTCAAGACAACAAAGACGATTTCCATGTTAGCGCTGGTCGATAAGGTTCCGGATAAAATAAAATCAAACATATCGACAATTCTTGACAATCGCAACCCTAGGCAATAATGCTGACGTTTTCTTCACAGAGAATCGTCTCCAAGTCATCTCTACAATATCGGATAGTTTTGGTTAAACCTATCGATTCACGTTCCACAGCAGATTTATCACGGAAACATTAACTCAACCCCCTCGCCCCGTCTGTATCCGGGATATCCGCAGTTTAAGGCACGATTAGCTTGGTATGGAGAGTTTTTGGAAAACAATAAATTTGTAGCTACAAGATAGGGCGTCACCACATTTATTAACGTGGCTTAAGTCGGTCAGAAAAAAATCTTTACTTTCATGCAACAACAGTGAAAAAGACATGTTTCGCGCCGGTGATCCATGCGGAATCTAGTTACTGTCGGGCTGTTCATAATAAAATACCAGACATAATAAAAAGTGATGCCAAATATTCAATATTTAAAAGGAAATTTAACGCATTACAGCGTTTGCGCACTACGTCCGATTCGTATTAATTCCGAATCCGAGAAATGTCCGCCCGAAATGTCACAAGTGTCCGAAGTGTCTTTTATCTCTAGGTGTACAATCGATATTCGTGTTTTCTAGGATTCGTATCGGACTTAGTGTAAAAGCGACATCCGAAGTAAGTCCGAGTTTCCTAGACTAGTATATTCTCGGATGCAGTGCGCAAATGCGCTTACTGGGCTCTAAAAGTTCCTGCTCAATAGAAGAGTTCTTGTCATTTAGAGAGCCAGTGCCGGCTTTACCTATGGTGCCGGGTGTGCCGTGCACACGAGCGCAGGGTCTTAGAAGGCACCGAACGCCGCTTGCGACGACTTCAAAGAGCCTACGTCAGCCTCGAAACGAGCTATTGCTTCCCAACATCTTTTATAATTGCATCATTTGCACTCGAACTTCCGATCACTGGGGAAAATAAAGCTGAAAGTATTCCATTTTGATTCCATTCGCGTACCTACTAGAGGGCACAAGGGTGTTGATAACACCCGGGCGCTACATGGCCTAGCGCTATAAGAAGAATAAGATACAACATTTAGATCACAAGTTTACAAAAGTGGTACGTTTAGTGTGGCGTTCTAGGTTTACACGCACATTGTGTCTTGTGTGGGATGTATCCAACATAAGACACACACACGTTTGCGCGCAATGTACGCGCAAACTTTGAACGCCCCGCCGAAGTCTCCACCGCACCGTACCGAATTTGCGGCCTAAATGTTCTATCACACATCGGCCACGTATGATTTCTAATAGAATATAGAGAATATTTAGTACATGATATGTTACATACATATCATCACGCCTGTCGGGAGACAGTCCATAGTACTATGGACCTCCACTTGCTATAATATTTAGTTTTTTTTAAATATGGTTATTATTTTGTTCTATTTTAATTATTTAATATTAGAGTAGTCAATCAATGTATGTCTATATGTATACATATAGACCTATACTTATAGATTGCAATACCTTAACAGGGACGATATTTATACGAGATACATGTCTTTTTGTTATCCATGATGCAATTAAATAAATAAATACAACTTTTTCTGACCGACTTAATGGGATTCCGTGTCGATAAGTATGGTGATTCCCATAGAGCAGTAGTAATTCGTAGATTGCTATGTAGCTAGATTACTTTAATGGTTAAATACATATAATAACACTACGTAACCTTCTGTACAATTATCTGCAGTTATCTTAATGTAGAGATGTTTGAGGAATAAATTCCGAGATTGTTAGAATTTTAACTCTGTTACTGTTTACTGCTTATCTCATTTAATATTACTAATAATTACTTACGTGTTTGAACCAGCGCTTTGATTTTGAAATCAAAATAATCATAATTTGCGTACCTTGTGTAGTTAGGAAATCCGCACACTTATAACGCGGCATTGACTTGAGCCGGTTGAAAAAAGTTCGGACTGCCGACACATAAACGCATAACGTCTTTTAGCTCTTTTTACATACAGGAAGCTTTTTTCTGACCGGCTTGATGCTTGATTCCCTGTCAATAAAACTTTCATAGATTTTTCATAGATGGCGCTATGACTAAAAAGTCGTTGAAAAACCAAATACAAAGACTCGACAATAAGCATATAGAAAAATTCGTGAGGTCCGCCGGTTCGTTCCGTGGCTTAGTTTGTACAGGTGTCTGCCGCGGTATGCTAGAAGACGTCGGTTCGAATCCGGCCGAATCGAAGGATTTTTTCTGAGTGTTCGATCTTTGTATTAATCATCGTTTTTTATGGTATCAAAGACAATTTAAAACTACTATAAAAATCAGAAAACTTTTTACAAATCTCCTAAATATATAAATAGATATTTTATATGGAAAGATATTATTTTTTCGGGTCTATATTGCGTATATTTGTTTTTTCAAACAAACCGATGTATAATTTTAATTCAGGAAAAAAATCATTTTTGTTAAATAAAATATTTTGCAAATGGTTTATATCGTAATTTGGAATGTTCTTTGTTAATTAAAAACAAGGTATTTATTTTAATAACTTTTGTAATTATAGTTCAGAATACTGTTGTTAGCGTTAATATTAGACATAACTGGTTGATGACTTAACCATCTCCGTCAGCCGTCAACGTGAGATCTGTAAAGGAACCGAAACGTTGGTTTATTTGAAAAAACAAATATACGCAATTTTAAATCCGAAAAAAAAAATGTTTTCAATGTTTTATCGCGTTCGTAAAGGGCAAAAATATATAGGTAAAAAATAAGTTATAACAATTTATCAAAATTTTATCACGTGTTTTGAAAGGAAAAGATATCCCATTGCTCATACACATAGTAATTTCCTTAATAATTCTTTCTCTTTCACTAAAAGATAGAAAATTATCCGTGTCATCTTAATGACAACAGTAGGGCTAGCACAACGGGGCGCGACTTGCGCGAGCGACATAAAGCGCGAGATACTGCTATTCTCGCATAGAGATTGCGCGCTTTATATCGCTCTCGCGCAAGTCGCACCATGTCTTGCTAGCCATACAGTTATACAAAAAGATATAAGTTTCATTCAATTGACGAATATTTTTTGATTTGCACTAACATTTGAATTAATTAAAAGCACCCCTTAACTTAGTCCAATTTCAACGCTTAAGGGTGTCACCACATTTATCGACACTGAATCGCATTAAGCCGGTCAGAAAAAAAATTTACCTCCGTGTGGAAAAGACGGTGTACGTTTCGAAGTTAGCAGAAGCATAACGCGCATCGGCTTTTTCGTTCTTGTTGAATTGACATAAAGTTTTTTCTGACTAGCTCAAGCGGATTCCGTGTTAATAAGTGTGGTGTAACCCCTAAATAATGCTCATATCGACTCCTTTAGCACGAATGGGATGTAACTTACAAATTGGACTCAATAAAGTTGTTCACATAGTTCGGGTCAGAATTTCATGTTCCATTTTGTGATGTAATTATGTAATTAATTCTCATCATAATCGTTTTAAGTCCATTAGTGTTGTAATGGTCGAACTGCGATACCTTATAATTATGTGTTATCATACTTTAACCATGTAAAAACACACTAATAACGTGGAATCGGTTTGAGCCGATCAGAAAATATTAATGTCCATGCAATGAATGTGAAGAAGATGATGCACGTCTCGCTGTAGCGATATATTTTTCGTTCTAATTGCAAAGACATAAAGTTTTTCTGACTAGCTTAATACAATTCCAGGACCTGTGACATGACATGTGGTGTTTCCCTTATCCTACTTAAAATTGTAACTAGACGGCAGTGTTGAGCATTAGACAGTTACCTACGACGTCCACCTGCACGTGTTTAATTTCTTTCTTTTTACCAGGTGACGCGCAATACAAGCCCTATGTAACAGCGAGCCCTGAGATTGTATCAGTTGACCTTGACGGCGATGAGGACTTTGTGGTGGTGGCCTGCGATGGTCTGTGGGACTTCGTCAGCGAGGACGACGTCGCCTTGGCCGTGTATCGACAACTGGCTGCTGATCCTGGTGAGTCGTAATTTTAAGACATTTACTGCTCTGTCCTGTCAAACCAGAACACTACAAGTACCAATAATGTTTTCTAGCTTCATTACAGCAACAATCTTTTGGCTGTTATCAAGTCAAAAGAAATTTATTACTTTTTCAATAGAATAGCACATTTTGCGAAGTACTTATAATTGTAATGACTGGATTTTCTGGAACGCTTTAATATACACTTCCAGACACATAATTCGAGCCACCAAATGTTTTCAGAATTGAGGTGCCTAAGCTTAGTAAATGTTTGATTGATCAAAAAGTATTATGCAGTTTTGAAACTAGTATACTAAACGTATTTTCCACAAGTTCATGTTAGGAATTTGGATTTGCAAAACCAGGGAAAACTTTTTCTTCGATGATAACACTATTTTAGTATTCTAGCCCTTTGCGACAAAAATGCGAGGTGGCTCCAATTACGTGTCCAGGAGTATATAATGTGCAAAGTTCAATGTATTTTTCTAGTCTTAAAAATCACAAAAAAGTGAAAAAATATTTTTGCAGCTTTTTCTCAAAATGCTGTTTTTGACATTACAATGTATATTTATTGCCTTGACAAGGTAGTGTTGAGCAGGAGTGGTTCTACAGTGTTACGGTTCAATAAAACGGGTATAACGTTGAGAAGATTACAAAACCTCCAAGAGATTTAACGTTATTTTCTACTGTACTTCTTTCTTTGACAATATTTGGTATCTTCTTTCGCATAAGAAGGCTTACTTTCTACATTTCCTATATTTTCACACGAAATTGCGGTAGCTATTAAATACGTAGGCATACCATAAGATACATTTACTTACGTATACGATTCTGCCGTCATCATAACTAACTGATATATTAATAACGAAATTGAGTTATTAACATATCAGCGGAATGAGTTCTTCAACCTCTCTAATCGGTATTTTAATATCTTAATTAGTTTCAGTTTTATTGTTAAGCAAAATCATCGTAATTCACATTTTTTATTACCAAAGAATACTAGGTGTCAATATCTCGAAAGTTACCGAAATGCAAATGCGTTAGTTACGACAAGGATGTTGCAATCTTTAAATATATTATTTTATAATAATAATAATAACGCAAACACTCAGCATAGCCCCGCACTAGGGAAACCCTGTGTCGCGGGTGTCGTGGCACACATTGTATGGTTTCATACATTCTTCGGCATAACTCTGCGCAGGCGGTGATCTACTTTAGCCACGTGCCTACTTTAGCGTACTTTAGCACTTTTATTAAACATGCAATTGACACTCTGTTTTCACGTAGGACATTACCAACTGTCCACCTATATACGACATCAAGGAAAGATTTGCCACCATAGTATCTGTATTTTTACGTACAATATACTTTTACCATTGTCTTTGCAAGTCTTTCTCTGCGTACTACCACTACAATCCATGTATGGAGTAGGGTGACCCATACACACATAGAGAACCACAAATTACACCCAAACAAACTCACGAGAGAAAGAAATGTAGGCCGTACAAATATTTCTCCCGGCCCGGGAATCGGACCTGGGACCGCTGCGTGGCAGTCCGGCATGGTAACCGTTCGGCCACGGAGGCAGTTATTGTATATTAAATATAGATTTTCTATCTCATACATTTCGATGTGTGCGCAGGAACTTTTCAATTTAATTAAAAAAAGAATTAGGTCCCAGGTCCGATAGGGAGGAACGGCCTCACCGTGTGTGTGAATTCGGTCGACTAAAAGGTCCGGAACACTCCATCCTTAAGACGTTGTTAAACCACCCATTCGTACTAATTTAACTTTTACATTTACTACACATTGAAATTTCTATTCGGGTGCTTTCGAAAATTCGAATATTATGAACTTGGAACCAAAACCGATAAATTGTTAAATTATGATTTTCGTTTCATCTACACTCACTTAAAGGATTTGTTTTGTGTTCAGATCCGTGCATTTGAAATGTAAGTATATCGCTGATTGGGCGATCGCTGTTCAGGGTGGGTAAATTACTCATTGAAACCTACAACATTTACCGTTTAAAGAGGCATTAAAAAAAAGTTCAAATATGACTTAACGATTTTAGTTCCGATGCTCCTCAATCATAATATTTAAAAAAATAAAAAACATACATACATTTTAACAAAACAAACGAATAAAGCTGGAAAGGGCCACAGAGTATGTACATCTCGCTGGTATTAGCTGATATTTAGTAATACTTTTATATTATAAAATATTACCAGATTGGAACCACATGTATGTAGATCAAAAAAAGTATAACAATACTGCGTACCATTCACATGACTCATGGCAACTGGTACCTGTGCCACATGATGAATTACTCTCATCTCAATGTACCCACAAACCGACAATAGACACAATGGGATAATAATTTCAACGCGTACTTTCGTAGTATGCCGCTAACTAGTGGTGACAAGAGCTTTTGTCATTCTAAATAGTGTTATTACGTGTTTTGGAATGGTCTAGTACACAGATTAAAATCAATTTCATAGTACAAATTTCCATTCCAAAATTCAATCTTACTATATTTCATATCGTATTATATATTGTATAATAATAATAAAATTAGCGTCGGTTTATGTACTTTTGAATGTTGAGCATAGTTATACGAGTAATTGGGCCCAGATATGCGTACTGTATTAATTTTTAAGTGTTTTTTTTTATATTATTCGTATCTGATGTCTGTTACTGTGCCATAAATAAAAAAATATTATCAGTATCATCATCATCATAATCATCAACCCATTTATACGTTCCACTGCTGGGCACGTAACTTCGATCAGGCTAAGGTTTAGTCCATAGTCTTGTTTAGGGTTTAAGTTGGGGACTTCACGTTTTTCGAGGGTTGTGAACCTTCTACGACGTGCAGTTTTCATCATGATATTTTCCTTCACCGAAAAGCTCATGCTAAAATTTCAAACAAATTTCGCACATAAATTCCGAGAAAGTCAGAGGTGCTAGTCCGGATTTGAAACCACGACGTCTGCTTGAGGGTCGGTAGGTCAAACCGTTTAGCTACCACAATTTTATCGAGTTCTTAGGTTTTCGCGATTGTTACACATAGGAAATGAAACTATTTTTCCAAATTTAATCGCGTATATTTGTTTTTTCAAACAAACCAATGTTTTAATGTTTTCAACAGGGAAGATGATTTCTCCGTACCACCAGTTTGGGATCCAATATTTCCTTTGATGAAAAATTCCAAACAGACATCAGACTACAGTACTAATTAATATGTTTCAATTTATTGTAATTTCCATTATTAATTAATAATAAATTTAACTCAATAAAAATTTATATTGTTACAATAAAATAATTTGTAAAACAATGTATCGTAAATTTGAATGTTTCTTTGTAAAATTTAGATAAGATATTTAATTAATAACTTTTGTAACTATAGTGAAAAAATAGGGTGGTTTGCATTAATATTAGACATAACTGGTTGATGACTGTACCACCTCAGTCAACCGTCACCATGGACCTGTAAAGGGTTCATGGACCTGTTGGTTTATTTGAAAAAACAAATATACGCGATTTAAATCTGGAAAAATAGTTTCATTTCCTATACCACATTTTTTTTATATTGCCAGTGTCACAATATTATTATTCATAAATCTTTATAAACATTTTAAAAAACCGACCTCAAAAGTTCGTGGAATTACATCTATTTGCCAAATTTTGTTGAAAAATGCCAAGTCAAGGGATAATAACTATATTATTACTTTCGAACTATATTAACTATATTATTGACGACTATCAATAATAATATAAACAATAATGATTAATATAAAACAAAATAATTTAACTGAAAAAATGTAATTAAAAATAAATAAATAAATATTAGACAACAAGCGCTTGAGTTATGGAAATCGGAAACAACCTCAGGGACCTCAGAGATGGCGACACCATGAAAACCGGTGTTCAAGCCAGTCGGCCACCAAGGCCGTCATAATAAATATTAACAAAGTATTCTGTCAGAACGAAGGAATTTTTCGTTATGTTTGATATTTGTATAATAATTATAACAAACTACTGGAGTAATTTCAGAAAAAATAAATGAATATCATGGTACTAAAACATCATAACATTAAATACATTCAATATTAAAAAATGTAAATAAATAAACACAAAATATTGTCGAAATACAACATTACAATTACACTAATGATCTTATATACGTAAACAAATCATTTCTCTACACTATAATTCATTATCCAATAAAAGAAACTTATTTCAATCTGGTATAAACAATTTCGTCATTTTGTAACGCTTTTTAGATTTACGGGTAGGCGTTCGTACTATCTGGGACCTTTTACTGTTGTGAATGTACTTAATTCTCTTGCATATTTGGCAAATTAATTTCATTTCCTTTTCTCTTTATTTATTTAAGAAATTTTATAGAATGACATTGAAATTGTTGCATTGCATCCATTTACTTACCATTGTAACTCAATCTTCTTCTTTTCATTTATTGACGGTGCCCTTTTATGATTTCGAAGTGACTCAATGATCATATCCTGAATTAGAAGTTTTAGTTGGCAGCACAGCTCCTTGTGAAAAAGTGCGTCCAGTGAAGAACTAGTACCTTTTCTATTTCTGGTGCCAAAAGGTAATGTGAACAGTAACTGCTTTGAATGGTAAAATTACAGGCACATGGGACTTGTCCAACTTGTGTCTCAGGATGACAGGCGTAGTGGCAGTTCCCCTGAAATGTTTGTGGTTTAAAGCTCTGAGTGGCACTGCAGCTGCTATGGACAGGCGTATCGCTTACCACCAGGCGCACGACTTCATCGTCCCGTCACTTTGTATTATAAAAAAAAGTTATAAGTCTGGGGAACGTTGGTGAAGATTCGATTAAACAAAATGTAACAGTATTTTTGCTCGTTTCGTACATAACTAGAGGCGCCACGTTGCACATAATTTATAATAACAACGCATTATAAGTATAACGCGTATACTTAATAGTGTCTGGCAATTCTTGAAGGCGA